ACCTTCGGACCGTGTGCGCATTCAAGTGAGAAAGCATTTTCGGGACGCTCCCTCTTGTTGTTTCACAAGGTCAAGTGCTCATCAAAATGACAACCCGCTGTGTGAGATGGTTACGAAAATTACCCTTGGTGTTATTTCCCTCTTTTATTTCTCTTTTTTCACAATGGCTTTTTTATTGGTCCCATACGTACGTTTCACTGGCGAGTCTTCAAATGCATTTGGCATCTCGAGATGACGATCGTTCAACCTGACATATTCTTTGCTCCTGTTTGGGTGCATCCCTGCCAGTGAACGTGCTGTTAAACCATTAGAAACATTCTCCTTGCCTTTCCAGTAAGTTTCGTTTCTTCTTATTGCAACCGATGATGTCAAACGATTGCTAGAGGGATCCACAAACGGCATTCATCGTGACCTGGATGCGGTCCCGTGAATTAGTCTGACGAGTGGCTGTTTCCTCTTAACACTGGTAATTGCAGACATCTCCCTGTAGAGTCCCTCATGAACCAGGCTTCTCAATGTTACCTTATACCGTCTACCACGAGTATACCCACGCAAGTGGCAAACATCGACGAGATCAAGGGCTTAGGAGTCGTGGTGTACGGCTGCTACGAGCCCAGAAGATAGTGCCAGGTAGCCTAGTCAACGCATTTTAAGGCGCTATTTTTACTGGGAAAAACACTGATATTTAGGGACCCTGCAGTTCTACGTAGAGCTGCACGGGCAGTTCTGTCCCACCACACGGCCGTGGTGCGACCGCATCCAGAATACTGTATTTATACACAGTTTCTGAACCTCTTGCGGGGCTGAAGAGCTCTCGAAGACGTACATCGATGGTTTTCTAGAGGTTTTTCCGCCATCAAGTTGCTTTCCTACTCAAAGCACCTGAGGTGACCAAACTTGTTCTCCCTCCCGCAGGTGGACGAGAGGGGGCTTGATGAAGGTCTGGATTAGCGCAGACGAGCATGCAACTTTTCTCCCTCAGTGAGGACCCATCCCTAAGAGCCCACCAGCTGAAATTGGTCGTGCATCGTGCAGTAAAAAGAAAAAGAACGAACTTCTCCCACAGTGATCAACGCTAGGAAAAGACTACAGATTGAGGTTGTCTCGGCTTACACGCTCGACCTCTTTTAACAAGGCTTCATGAGACGTGGGACGTAGTTTTACCCGACCCAGCCTAACGGGAAAAGTTGGTCATTCCTTGGTGGTAGCTTACAACTACATCCTAACCCCCACCGATCTTTTTCATCATGATCTATTTTATTCTACCTATTCATCTATTTTGTTTATCCTCTCATTAGATGCCTGATCTCGTTTCCCTTAATCAGCCCACTCGTGATTCTTAACCTAAACTTGTCCTCCGGTTCTCTGTTTGCTAGATGGGTACTCAGACGTGGTGGTTTCAGCCTGTGACTGATCATCTGGTGCCGTTATCGTCCACAGTAAACCAAATTGGCATCCCTGCTGCGCACCACCAAGAACCGATTAACTAACTGTCGAAGCGCTGCAGGACATTTCTGGCCCATAGATGCAAGAATATGAAGTACCATGCTGACTCTACTCTCAAGTCTTATGAACCGTTCAGTCCTGTCCTGTCCTTCCCCCATCGTCTGGTAAACTCGCCAAATGACAAGTTATGTAAACGAATTTTGCTAGAACAATTGTTCTAATGGTGGCGATCTACAGAACCAACCATGCTTCGAAGCATATCCTACTAACAAAAGTTGATTACTTCAGACCTACCGTACAAGGGTAAAAGTCATGGCCAAGATCACTACTGTTATATTTTCCCTACAGGGCAAATAAGTGGGTTTCTGAACAATCCGTAGATAATGACGCCAACTGGAGATAGCCTCCAGATGGCTTACTCATGTCTAGCAAAAGCGGGAGGATAAAGCCGACAACTNGGTAAATGCAGTTTATATTGTTCATTGGTTTTCTCGATTGGGGGGATGCCTGAGGGCATTCTATAAAGTACCTTAACCTGAGGATCTGTGATAGGGATGAATATATTGAACTCTATTGTGTCCTTTCCTCGCGGAAGTGTACGAAGAATGACAGGTCGGTCCACCGCCCTTCAGTTATTTGTTCTAGAATACTTACTATTCTCGGCCTTGGTAAATGTTCCTTTTATCCCTACACTTCTTAGTCATTGTTTGAGTATTATACTTGCAAGTCCAAAGTAGTCACGGAATGCAAGACGGGGGCGGGTCAAGGAAACCAGGGAAATGGCTGTCCGTCAAAACACTGCTGAACTGAAAATGTTATTCTCGGATTGTTTGAACACTTATGATCAAGAAGCCCACCAGAAAAATAAACTGACCCATCAACACCTGCCATGTATTTAACCCATAGCTTGAAGTGAAATGAACTGGAGAAACTAGAAGCGAACTCCATCGTGTTCATGAACACGATGGAGTTCGCTTCTAGTTTCTCCAGTTCATTTCACTTCAAGCTATGGGTTNGGCAGGCTCCGGAAATGGGCTGACATGTCATTTTGCATAAGTTGTGGAAAATGCTCGGTCCAGAGAATCGAATCATCAATAACTGTCGCCAGATTTTACTTTAGGACGATAGAAATCCCAACGGTTATCTCGGTATTTTGAACCAGGTAGTGGCTGCTCATGAGATCAATTTAAATCGAGTCAAATCAAATCATTCAGTCATGTCAAGTCAGATGATCCGTAGACCTTTGAGTGTATCACGCAGGAACTATTTCGGGGACTGTTCATGTTGTTGGTTCACCCACGTCTGGAAAATTGCTTCCACCATAGTTGTTGCGATACAAAGAGTCTATAGAAAAGGCGCCCAGAGTTTGTACCTAAATGATTCGTGGGTTTCGAGGCTTGACTTATGACTAATGGCTTTCTCACGTGAATATTTCTTCCCTACACCTCATCCAAGTCTGTCGTATCATTACAAAGTGAGGTCTGACATGACTTAGTTCAGGCCAAGTGAAATGCCTTCTCTAAGGAAGCTTTAAGTTCAGGAAGCCCAAGTTGCACAGCCGAGGCGAAGTATTTTTTTCACATGCCGGAGTTCAGACTGTGGCCAACAAATCACAGTACAAAAAAGTTCCATGATTTGTTTGTGGGCGCGATACTGCCAGGTTGCCCAGTTCAAAGCATGTGAATTTTCGTCTCCTCTGAATGAGATCAGTGAGTTCATCGAAGAAAGCATCCTTTTGGGTATCAGAAGTGCAATTGGTCGGTGCATATGTTGATACGATAAACAAACACTTGTTGGCGTTGCTTCCCTTCCGGACGCTGATTGAACCCTGGAGATGCACTGCACATAAACGACTGTTGACAGGGATCCAATCAATAAGAGAGGACTCCGCCGTGTTACTGAGTACAATACCTACCCCACGCTGACCTACTGAACGAACTTCATCGTCGCCTGATGTGCGAAGAACGTATTTCGTCGACAAATCTGGCGCGCTGAAGTGGCTTAGAGTAGTAGGATCTTGGATTCGAGTTTCCGAAATGCAGCAACTATCGATTCTAAGGATTCCATTGTATGAGCCAGAAATGCTTGTTGACCTAGCTGCATCAAAGTCCTCACGTTGAAGGCCCCCGGATTAAGTGACTGACGAGGCTTTAGAACCTGCAATCCATTTCGTGGTAAATTAATTACAGTGCTATTCGGCAACGACCTTTGGCGAGCGACATCTAAGCTGCTTGAGGGGCTATTACAGGTCGGAAGAAGGGGTGAAGGGATAGGGTTGGGTACGGAATAAAAAGAGTTAAACAATGGTTGGGATATCTGAGCAGTAGCCCACTAATCACTACCCACCCCGCTCGATGCAATGGGCAGCGTGGTCATGATTATCCTGCGCAACGACCGATGCAGTATGGAATTATTTTTATTTTGTGTATGCATTGGGTTTTGGTGGACCGGTACTGCTAAGGTGTCCAGCCACTAAGCAGGAGAACAATTAGGGTTCTCGTCGAAAGCCTTTAGTTCTAACAAGAACCTAACCGCAAGGCAGCGGATGGGACGAAGTGGAGACCCATTTACTTGGATAGATTACTCCTCCACTGCTTTTACCGACTGAAACGCCAATTCCAGGCGAACCCCCAACCTGGAGTACCGGGAGACTGAACTTCGTCTGACCTCTACCCATTGACCCTCAAGGCATGATAAGATCCCCTGGTTTGATAAAACCCATCCTGTGTAGCTCGCAGGGTCATGGAGGCACGCAAGCCATCACACCACGCCAAGGTGAAGTCTCGTGATGGATGAAACCCTAAATTTTCTCTTTGATCCTTATTTCAACCTTTCTTGTTTTTCTCATTTTCGTCCAAATGGGCAACCAAAACCGGGGTACGATAGTGCATGGTTAATGGTTGTTGAAACTGAGCGAAAGGCCTATATTTTAATGAACTGAACACTGGCTGCCAACGATGTGCGGTTTTCACACACCACCTCGCTGACTTACTGATCAGGACATATATATATATATATATATATATATATATATTCTGATTAGCAAGTCAGCGAGGTGGTGTTTGACAGCATAGGGCGTTTATGTTATCGTTTCGACGCTCAGTTGCCTGATTATTCGGATATCATGCTTTTGGAATCACTCCCACTTCGTACTTGGACACTTATGTGCGGGAGTTGAACTCCATCGCCGATACTCTGGATGGCGATTTTTCGCACAAGAAACTAGCAAAGAGTAGTGTTCTTGTGCAATGGTACCTGAGAGAATTAGTTTAATGTGAAGAGCTGAAGACGCAAGAACGAGCGTGACTGTTTGTATTGAGACGATGATCATATTGGGTCTGTTTGTCCTTTTATTTCATCCCATGCGGTGTTTATATGAACCATTTGCGTTTCAGTGCAACATGGATCCGAAATTGTCTCAGAAGATCGAGGAGTGGCTCAAATGGGACAAGGTTTGCGCCTGAAATTCGTGGCTAATGAGAAGTAGAATGAAACAACAAGAGCTGAGATTAGTCGCTTACACCAAGAGAAAAAATGGAGTACACTGGAGAAGCTACTTATGACTCGGATGGAATTCGGAACTGCTGGTGCGTATGCTTATCTTTCAGAACATATAATAAGTTGCTTATAGGACTGAGGGCAACCATGGGTCCCGGATACAGTCAGATGAATGATCTAACCATCATTCAAACATCTCAGGTTTGTCGAATTTTCGGAATTTGCTTAATACGCATCAATTCGAATGCAGGGACTCCTGAAATATGCCAAGTCGCAATTTAAGGATTTGAACAATTCAGGTATAATTGTGGGCTACGACATGCGTCACAATAGCAAAAAGTAACGTCCTCGTTTCGGTGAATTAACTGAACCTCCCCCCCCCTAGATGGGCTTTCTATTTAGCCAACATCTTCATAAATTCTGGCTGCAAAGTTTATCTATTTCGGGACAATTATCCAACTCCACTGCTTGCTTTTGGCGTTCGTCATTGCAAGACTGCCCTGGGCGTGATGATTACCGCATCGCACAATCCGAAGGAGGACAACGGATACAAGGTATGGACGTTTTTGACTTATTTGGTTTTGCAGGTCTATTGGTCAAATGGTTCGCAAATTATTAGTCCGCATGATAAAGGTATTTCACAGTGCATCAATGAATGTCTAACACCGGAACCCGCTTCCTGGAAAATTGATTCGGTGGAAGCGAACCCATTGTGTCACAACCCGATGCCGAAACTGATACAAACCTATTGTGACTTACAAAAGAAGGCTTTGTGTTTCACCTAGTGAGTTCAGTTTGTTGTTTCCAAGTTGCTCACTGCGATTCCAGTTTCTGAGTTTTATCTCTATAGTAGCCAAAGTTCAAGTCTTATTATGGGCGATTAAACAGAGCTAAAGCTTATCATGCCCCATGGGATTTTTACAGAATATTTTGAATAGCTTCATAAAGAGAAAATAATGATAAAAATTTGCGTAATCACTCACAGATGTCGAAGTTTCAAGTGTTCCAAGGCTTTATGAAGTTGCTACTTAAATAGTTCAACTGTAGGAGCACACACTACATTAGATGGGAGAGAATTTCATACGCCGCACACTCTGACTGCAAACTAATGATACCGGCAATCATGGTGGCTGTTCTGGATCTTCATCTTTAGTGGATGTCCCCTGAGGTGATCATTATGAGATAAAGTCAGCATAGAACGACAGAGGTGGTTGGGTTGATTCCAAGATTAGATGAATAGAGTCCCAATAGTTGCTGTCTTTCGGAGTATGTCTTGTTATACAGATCTTTTACCAATTTTGTTACCAGCCTTTGCGGATGTTCTAGAACCTTCTTGTCGCGGTTCAACCATGGATTCCATGCTTGAACGGCGTACTCCGTGTGTGGCCGAATGAACGCTGATAGGAATCGTCGGAACAGTGCTCTTTCGAACTGCCCGAAAACACGTCTGAGTAGTGCAACTTGCTTTAGAATCATAGATGATGCTCTGGCACAGTGCGTGAAACATCCTACGTCCTCCTGTATCATAACTCCTAAATACCTTTGGTCAGTGGCATGCGGTAGTATTTGGTTCCTCAGAACATGGAAGAAACGAGTCTTGTGCCGCATGGAAATAACTCTGCATTTGGAAAGGTTTAAGTCGATGTCATTGGCGATAGATCTTTTGTTGGATGTGTTACTGTTCTCCAGATCTTAGCTTCGTCCGCAAATAGCAATGTATTAAGCCTAAGGACATGTGGCAGGTCGTTTATAAATGCAAGAAAGAGACGAGGCCCCCAGTACGAATCCTTGGAGAACCCCTCGGGCAGCGGTGATAGGCTCTGATAATGAATCACCAACACGAACTGACATGGTTCCTTATCGGAAAAACTCCTTGATCCAGTCCAGAACAAAACCTCTTACTCCGTAGTTGTAGAGTTTTCGCAGTATAATTTGGTGGTTTACGGAATAAAATGCTTTGGAGAATTTCAAATAAACTATATCCAATAGCTGGCCTGCGTCGACGGATTTTGTCCACTCATCCCGTACAAGAAGTACGTTTGTGGTGCACGAACGCTTTTGCCGAAATCCGTGCTGAGTTGGATACAAAAGCTCATGCTTCTCCAGATACTTCATCAACAAATCTGCCACAATAGCTTCCATGTCTTCCGACAGTATCGGAAGAAATGTCACAGGGTAGTAGTTGGTTGGATCACTGCGAGATCCCCCTTTGTAATTGGGGGAAATCACCCCTTCCTTCCATGACTGCGGAAGTACTACCTCGTTGAACATCCTTTGCTAAAGAACAGCGTCGATGCTTATTCGTCGTATCCGCATGTGCATCGACAGATTGCAGTTCACCAGAAATAAAGGATGAATTCTACAAGGACCTCTCTCTATTGCTTCAAGGCGCTCGGTCAACGGACATTGTGATAGTCGCTGGAGACCTCAATTCTCAAGTGGGATCCCCGGACAAATCAGAGAGGTTACTTGGCGGTTCGCATGCAATCCCAGCCAACAGGACTGACAA